CACAGCGCCTGCTTGCCACCCTTCACACCTCCAGGACGCCGACGGCGATCTTCGAGTCATCAGGTGTGAGGCCGAGGATGTCATGTGTGTTGTCCGTTGTGGGCCTCACATGCAGGTTTGGGCTCTGAAGGTCGAAGGCAGATGGAGTGGCGCGTGTACCCCTCTCAGGTCTCCTGGGACGCTGTTGTCTCCCTTGGAGGTTTCACGTCATGGGACGCGGCTAACCTTGTGGTTGCGGCCGATAACCAATGGTGGCGGTACCCTCAAGACTTGAGCTCCGCCATGGGTCGCTGCCTCCGGTTGCATCAAACATGTGAGAGTGGCCAGGGAGCCCATGGTCAGAGTACCGTGCCCTCGGGCCACCAGGCTGCTTCGGTGGCCAGTGTTGCACTTTGGGCCCTGGGGAGGGCCCCACTCAAATGGTTGTCGCTTGGTTGGGTCCTTGGCGTAGCAGCGCGGCCAGCGCAACCGGCCTCCTCCTCGTCGGAGGACTCGCAAAATCAAAACGGCACTGACAGTGAGCCTTCTGTCTCACAATTTCCACCGTTGCCATTGAAGACCAGCACGATGAATGCTGGAATGTCCCACGACTGTCTGCCCTGGAGGCTAGTGCGGCGGCGGCCATGTTTCCTCTTGACCCCAATCACATCCATGCTTGGTTGGGTTCGCTGGGAATGACACAGCAAGACTTTCGTCTTTGGACCCCACTACGAGGACCCGCGCTGATTCGCTGGGCGGCCACCGCACAAGAATTTGACCAGGCCCTCAGGCAAGGTGGCTTCTGCCCGGACTCGCATGATCTGTTTGTGGCTGCAGACATGCTTGATCTGGTGGCTACCCCGAGCGGTCAAGGCAGCTGGTGGATAGTTCGTGACTTGCTAAGCCGCGAGCTTCTGCGGCCAGTCATCTGGTTTCCTTGTGCAGGCCACAGGCTTGCGGTTACTACCAACTCTGCTGGCGAAGTCAATGCTTTGGCCCACCATAGCCGCCTGGCGTGTTGCACAATTCCACCTCAAGGAGCTCGGGCCACTGTTGTGAACCCTGTTGATGGTTTCACGGCCGCGCTTGGCTCCAGCGGGCTCATCCTCGCTTTCAGCTCTGCTTGGAAAGGAGCACGGTTCGCTGTGAGTGTCGCCAACCTTGCTTGCATTCTTCTGGCCGGGCTTCCAGTGGTCTCTGGGGCACATGTGGCCTCCCCTGTGCTCCGTCCTTGCCGACGCAGCGGTATGCTTGTCGCTTGGTTACTCGGTGTCGGAGTCCCCCCCGGATGCTCCATGCAACAGGCGGTTCAGGCCTCGCAGGTGCGAGTGTACACGGCCATCCGCATCTGGATTGTTGACCACCCGTCTCCCATCCAGCTGTCGGGGCCTCCTTGGCCCACTGAAGAGGAGATTCATGGCATCATTCAGTTAGGGGGATTTGGGGTAGAGCGAGGCACTCTGGTCCACATTCGTGGCGCAGCTGATCCGTCCGTGTATGACGCTGCGTATACCCCTCCGCATTTCGGCCACACCGGAATGGCTGTCTGTCTGGTTCAGCTGGATGGCCGTGCTGCGGTTTTCTCTTTTGAAGCACAGCACTTTGGCTGGGCAGCCTTTGGTCGCTGGGTCACGGATGTATTTAGGGAGGCCACTGTGCCACGCACCTTGGCTTTCAGTTTAGGTAATTGTGGGTACTCCTACGGGCAGGCTGTTCAGATCAACAATGGGGATCTCGTCACCTTGTATTATCCACGGCCCACCCACACAGCATATCTAGCCCCACCAGATCCTTGGGCACACGAGCCTCCACGCCCTCTACCTGCCCGAATGCTCCAAACTGGCCCTGCACGGGAGGCGCCTATAGGTGCATATCTGCTGCCGAGCAACCTGGAGAGTCTAATGTAGCAAAAAAAAACCTACATTTGACCAAAAAGTATACGTTGTTAGTTTTTCACCAAAAAAACAACAATGTTACTTTTTCAAAACAATGTAAGTTTTTTTGGGCTCCAGAAACCAAGAATCCGCTTGAGGTTAGTTTTCGCACGATTGTCATGCATTTCTCAGCCAAAACATGATCATGTCCATGGGGAAAATCGAAATCTTCTTCTAGTTGAAGAAGATTTCGACAAGAACATGCATGGAAAATTCTACCATTGGTAATACTACTGCATACCAATGGTAGAATTCGGAAAAGTAGGATCACAGTACTCATGAGCATGCTTCCAAGTCAGTTGCCGTGCCTCGCCGATCTTTAGCTTCAGTAGTAGGGTGAACATGCACGCATGACCGTACGGAAGTAGATATCGCAATCCTTAGAGACACCATGCATGGTCGATGTACACCCAGCACCTGACTTTAAAGCAACGGGCCCGGTATGGCTGAACAACTATAGGTTAAACCCAACAGAAGTGTAATTTTGCGGTCGTACTGCAATGGATTCTAGTGAACTCCAATTAAGTTGAATTCTGCTATTCTGTGAATCAGGCCTTGGGTGTAGAAACTACGACATCCTTTGCAAAGAATTTAAGTATTGAAGATAGCCCAGCTCCCTAGGGTGTAGTGTATGCTTTCAAAGCTCAGCAGCCGACGGCGTTTGTCGCTCATATATGCGGCTTTGCAGCCGACTGGTGCGCCCCCAGTCCACAGTTCTTTGCATTGCAGTGCTGCAGCGGTACATGTGACATGTCTCTGCATGCAGTGTTACTGTGCATGGGTGCCGCTGTGTTTGTGATCTCATGTTGCATGCATGTCTGCAACATGCTGATTTTACTATTCAATCTATATGCTTCTATATATATATATGTAATAATTGTCTGTATATACATATATATATATATACATACATGATATCCACAATATGTACATTTACTAGACTTAAGATGACAGGTGAGCTTCCACGGTCGCCTTCCAACCCCGGGGAGGGGGTCGGTGCGGAGGTGGGCAGCGATCGCGATCGGGAGCATCGTGAGAATCAGGAGAGCAGTGAGTCCGAGCATCGTGAGCGGGGCCGTGGGCGCTCGCGGTCTTCGCGGTCGCGGTCTTCGCGGTCGCGGTCTCGGAGTCGTCGTCGAATCTGTCGACCACTCTCGAGTGACTCCCGAAGTCGTCGTCGCAGGCGTTCGTCATCGTCAACTTCGGCCGCTCACGGGTGTTCTCGCGGTCGTAGTCGGTCTCCGAGTGCCCGAAGCCCGATCGAGCAGCTGTCGACGGAGGAGCTGAGGGCAGGGCTCGCACAGAGGCTGGGGTCGGTGGGCCTTCCGCCGGGCCGCCTTTACGGTGGCCCTCGTCCCAAGCAGATTGTTCGCCCGAGTGCTCCGTTGCCGGTTGGGAGGATTACCCCGGGACCCAAGGCCAAGCCCAAGCCGAACCCTTTTGCTCATATTAACCTTCCACCCCGCCCTGTGCGACCGTGGTGGCGCTCCTGAAATACGTATATACACGTGTCTCTGTGTGTGTCTCTCTCTATATATCTAGAGACATATCAGAAATCGGTACTATCATATATATATATATATATATATATATGTGTATACACATATATTTATATATTTGGGTCCATATGTATATACACCTGAATATATTCACAGAGACGCACACACACATGAAATTTATCTGTATTACTTGACTTTTAGATGCATGTGTAGTTATATCTATAAGTGTGAATATTAGACTAGACATGCATGTACATTATTTGTGTACATACATATATATATATATACACATACAAATACCTCTGTGATTTGCATTGGTTAACAGTAGCCATGACATCATTCTCTAGATAGAGAGCTATCTCGAGGATGACAATCCACATGCACGTTTTGACCTTCCCATGGGGCACTTTTACATATTGTTGCATGCACATGCAACAATATCTTCATGACCTTGGTATGAATTATACCTTTACATCCCTTTGTAAAGGTATAAATCGGCCCGGTTAGTGTACCTCGAGATGGACCCAACACCACCTGCAGACTCTGCAGACATGTGCTGATTTGTTTAGTGCTGGGAGATTCGATCCTCTGCAATCAGAGATACTTGTAGCTTTTCAATCGATCTTAACCTAGGAAATATAATATGGGCCATGGGTGTTTCATATAGATTACGTAGCCTCGGCCTGCTTTGCTGCTCGGTGGCCCATGGCTTCTGCCTCGAGTGCTGGCTCGGAGATTGGTGGTGAGGAGGCTCTTGATTGCATCTAGAAGAGCTGTTTCAGCATTCGATGGGGCAATTTTTTCTGGTCGTGTCAGGAGCCAGACAATGCCAATGAAGGTGTGAAGGACAGCCAGGCCGCATGAGTTAGTCCGGGCATTGGCAAGTGGATTGAATGTGTTGCAAGTTTCCCTGCAGTTGGCAAATGCAATGGCTTCGGCTCTGAAGCCATTGTTCGCTGGAGCCAAATTAGCCCCAGCTACATAATTGCATTTCTCGATTTGGATTCTTACTGGGCCTTGATGCTTCAGCTTTCCAGTCTAAGTTCTGCACAGACTGGCTGGTGCAAGCAAATGATTGAGGTGCCAACGATGTCTGGGAAGGTGCGGTTAACTTTATAAATCCGGGCGAACAGCTGCCTCTGGATTTCGTGGACCAGCAGCTCACCGCGGCATTGGATTCCTGCTTCGCAGTTTTCAGTGCCTTATCTTATAGGGCATTTGACAGTATACTCAGCTCCGGCAGTTGGCTCATTGACCTTTCAATCAAGTTTCGAAGCGCCACAAGGCGAACTGGGCATCACGAAGACTCCGGCTCCTCGCATCTTTGACCTCGCCGTTTCTTGGACTGCAGCTTTTGCTTCAATAATGCATTCTGGAGTCTTGCAGCCTGCGACCTGATTCATATCATATGCTTTTGAGGTCATGGTTTGCTGCCACCATTTCACACAGGTGGACCAAAGTTTGGTTTCGACGATCCTGAAGCGGGGTTGCAGCCGCCTGCGGGGCCTGAACAATCGCTCAAGGCGGGAATGATTTTCATGGACTTTTCTTTAAATGAAGACTTCAGTCACCCCAAGTGTCCCCGCACATGCAGGTCCAGTCATCGGCCGAAGTTGGATGCATTGAAGTGCAAGTGCTGCGGTCGCATTTAATCTTTGTGCTCTCGCACGTGCCAGCCTGCTTGTATGATTTCAGATCGAGGATCCTTCCCTCTCCGCCAAAGGGTCAGAAGGAGTCTGGCCAGGCCGAGGATGGCATGGCTCCGTTCTTTGGCTTGAATGGTATCTACAAACTAAGCCATTCCTGGGTCATTGTATGTAGACCCTACATGTTGCTTCTGAATTTCTTGGTCCTGAGGACTGAGAAATCTGATGATGGCCCCGAAAACAAGCGACAGCGCCTGGAGGCCATAATAATTCGTTTCGTGCCTCACTGCTACAGCCTTATCTCTAGATCGGCAGGAAGCACGAGCCAAGTACAAGGGCATGTGCCAGGAGATTTTCGGCTCTGTTGCTTGGCCTAATACCCTCTGCTAGTTGGTTGCATGGTTTGCCGATTCGCTTGCAAACTTAGCAGCTGAGGAGCCCGTGGATGTTTCGGACTCCTCCGAGGAGGAGTTTGATCGTGGGACCTTTGCAGATGCTCTTCAGCAACGGAATTTCCTGAGTCCTCTGATTCAGGTTTCTCGTCCAGAGATCATGCTGAACAACATGTCCGGCTGCATCACTATATGTCTCCACGTGCTGGTGCCAAGGATCCTGTGGCCAAGAATAAGCCGAAGGCTCCGGAGCCGCCGGTGGAGCCGGTGCGGGCTGAGGCAAAGGCGGCTTCGAAGGCGATGCCGATGCCGAAGAACTTCGCCGGCAGAACGCCGCCGAATACGGCGAATCGCTCTTGGAGGTTTGCCGCAATGAAGGCATTGTGGCACGAGAGCCTTTGCTGATATATACTTTTTTTTTGGTCTGCATGCATTGGCCCGATGTCTGGGGGTTTGGCTTAAACCGGTACTGTCCCAGGCTCTACAAGCCGATCACGAAGAAGAACAAACTGGTGAAGTCTCAGGACTTCACCAGTTGCCTCTTATTGTCGGCTTTGCATTTCTTTGGGCAACCTAATGGTATTTGCAGGAGCAGTGGTACGACTTCGTGACGCAGGCTGACTTGGACATGGAGAACATCAAGACCGAGGAGGAGATGAGCGAGCGAGTGCGGTTGCTGTGCGAGGGCTTCAGGCTTTCGCCCGATGTGGGCGAGTGATGCGCCGCTGCATGGGCACTATGAGAAAAAACCTGCCCTAGCTGTCGTCACGAGCTCATCCCTTTTCTTGCTTCTTTGTCCTGAGCCGCTGCTCCTGGCAGGTACATCCGAGGCTTCGACAAGTTCGGCTCCGAGTGGCGGCTCCGGTATGCCCCCCCCCGCAGTGTGCTGCAAAAGCATTGCGAGTGCGATAAGCTAGTACCGGTGACTACACAGTCAGCTTTGGAACTCCTTTTGTCCATTGGGTCTAATGATGAACAACATTTGGCTTTTATGAAGCCTTCCAGCATTCTTTCTGTGCAATTTAGCAAGTCCTACGGTTTCGGGGATATGGTTCGGTGAGTTCGGTGCTGCAGTCACAGGTCGGGGAAAGTGCAATGTGTATCATATTGTACCAACTCAATAATTGGGTGCCTACACGAATGGGCGGCTGGATGGCTGGAGGGCAAATTCTGAAAATCCTCGATCTCGAGTGCTCTTCAGTCGGCATGTGCATGTAACGATGTTGCACGGCTGCTGCCCCGTTCTCCTGGAATTGTCCCGTGGTGTTGCTCGTGTGCGAAGGGTGTAGCCGAGGGTTGGCTGCTGCTCCGTATGGCTTGCTCGAAACAGCACTTGTCTTCGTGCATACATGCATATTCCGCACACACAAAACAAATGACACTATCTCCTGGTATATAGTTAATAAACAACTAGATGTTCGGAGAGCTGCTACGCATGCTTCAGTGACATCTGCCGGCTGTGTACATGACTGCTCTTCTTGTCTGTGTGAACGAAACTGGACCGCAGCCGCAATGTCTGAGTGCTGAAGTGCTGAAAAGGACTGCTTCTCAGCAGCTGCCAACTAGCAAGAGTTTCCAAGGCTATATGCTGCAGTCGCAGGGTGCTCTTCTAGTGAATGCATGAAGAGCGCCAATCCAAGCTATATAGTTTGCCCGTCAACAGTAGCAAATTCTTTTGGTTCAAAGTACGTCTAAGTAAAGAACACCCAGGGATATGGGTTTAAGCTTCATGCCGGGCACGTAGACAAACCTACTGCTGCAGAACATAAGTACAGACGTATATACAGATATATGCATGTGTATATATACATATATATATATATATATATATATATTCCACATGTGTGTTTTGATATTCGCATCGACCAATGGCCTGCACAAGCTTTGATCCTCGCGGTGTGGAGGAGCGGCTGAATGCTCTTTGGAGCTGTTGCACAGAGGCAGTGGATCAACTCAACGTTCTCCGCTGTGAGTACGAGAGATTGCAAGCCCGTTTGGACCGTTTGGATCGGCTGGAAAGCGAGATGTTGGAAGCCATTTGCGAGGTCCATGACCGCATCGACAAGATCATCCTGTGGCACAGGTTGCACCAAGGTTACCATGGCCCGGAGGACACCGACTTATTCGATGGATTTCTGGACAGCCTGGATTGATTGGTGGCTTTCGTCCCTTCGCTGAATTGGTGAACTGCTGCTTAAACTTGTTCTGCCGGAAAATACCAACGGCCCTAATCGGAGGTTCTATGCCTTATTCCCGGCCATGGAGAGCAGTTGCAATCGATCGAGGCTGCAGCTCCTCGCTGGCATGGGTTTGTTGCTGCCATGACATTTGAGGGTTTACACAACACACTGCTGGCATGAAAATTGGCAGGCACATGCTGCAGAAGCACTCCATCTCTGTTCGAACCCGGCGGTTGCTTGGCATGTTCTACGTGTTGGGTGTTGCAACTTTGATTCTTCTGTCTGGATCGATTTGCATTGCTGCCGCATCTCAGGTCCCGCTCGATCTTTATACGCGAGACCGTGGAATTGCTTTGGAACTTGTACCTGTGACAAATTAGCTAGCTGCTTTCTAAATAAAAAGAGCTCGCATCGTGCCACAGACGGTCGACTTCCTGCTTGTCTGTGCTGTGCGAGCCGTGCTGGTATCAGGCCTGGTCATTCTTGATCTGGTATTCACAAGTCATACATGCACACTGCTTTGTTGCCGCGAGGTTCTTTCATATATCGATATCGATCATCGACGACCTGTCTATCCGGACCCAGGACTGTAGAGTGAGCTTCTTCCGTGCTGCCAGCAGTCCTGTGCAAAAAAGCTAGTCGGTCTCCTGAAAGCATGCGATGTCATCGGGATGCGGTGCCACGCATGTGCATGCAAGTCTTTGAAGTCAGCGGCCTGTGTATGCATGTTTCGCGGTTCTCTCTTTTTCTTCCTTCTCTGTCAACCATATGTTAACTCCAGAAGGTGCTTTCACGGCATGGGTTTAGGGTGGGGGTAGGGGGGGTGGATGGGGGGTTGTTTGCCTGCAGGGTGCAGGGGCGGGGATAGGTGGGGGTTGGGGCGGGGTGGTGTCTCGCCCGAAACGTGTGCCCATACGTATTATTAGCCACTCGGACAACTTTGGCGAAAATCCTGTGACTCTCCGGCTGTTCGGGGCTGAGTTTCTCGTCGGGCCGAGATATGATTGCTCGGTGGAGTTTTGGGCTGCTTGGCTGTGAAGACCTTCGGGGCTGCTGCCCAGCCCCGCTTCGTGTGCACGCACTGCGCTAAGCTCCCGCCAAATCCCAGTGTTTGGTTCAAGTGTGCATGTGCGGTGACCAACCAAACTGAATTCTGGACCTATGCATGGCTCTGCAACATGTGTGTGTGTGTGTGTGGCTGTGTGTGGTGGTGTGTCCCTGTTTTGCAACTTTGCTCTGCCTGCAGTGCTGCAGCGAGGAGAATTATCGTATGGAAGCCGCTGGTTTCTGTCTACTGATACCATATGGCATTTAAGGGAGAAGGTCCCATGCATGCATTTCTGTCAAGCCATAGGCCTGCATATGCACGCATGCATGTGTGGATGTTTCATTCTCTTTCTCTCTCTCTCTCTCTTTCTCTCTGTCTGTCTCATAACATTGTCTGATCCGGTCCTTATATGTCCACTGCTGCGAACATATGCTAATATAAATATCTCTATATATATATGTATTGATTTTCATATCTATATCTATATATATATATAGACTTGGACAGGGATAGGGTGCGATACTGCGGGTACAGGTATAGGTTGTGTACGGGTACGGGTTAAGTGTACGGGTACGGGTGGTGTACGGGTACGGGTTGTGTGCGGGTACGGTTTGTGTACGGGTACGGTTTGTGTACGGGTACGGATTGTGTACGGGTACGGTTTGTGTACGGGTACGGATTGTGTACGGGTACGGGTGGTGTACGGCGTGTACGGGTACGGGTTGTGTACGGGTACGGGTTGTGTACGGGTACGGGCGGTGTACGGGTACGGGTTGTGAACGGGTACGGCATGTGTACGGGTACGGGTTGTGTACGGGTACGGGTTCTGTGCGGGTACGGGTTGTGTACGGGTACGGGTTCTGTGCGGGTACGGGTTGTGTGCGGGTACGGTTTCTGTTGGGGTATTTGTGCTCTCAATTGGCTGCATCGAGCCTTTCACTGCTGTTGCTCTATAAATGCTCCGAGCTTATGCATGTGCATGCAGGAATCAGAATATGTCATGCATCGCATGACAATGTGTTATCGCTGCTTGGGTCGAACTTGATCACACTGACTAAAGAATTAGGTGTGCCTGTCACATTCGCAGGAGCCACGCATGCTCATGGGTGCATCATCAGGTAACAACGAGCTCTGTCAGGATATGCTGTTGGCCGGCATATCACCGAAATCTGCATGTTCGCTCAAGACTTAAACTTTTTTTCAAACCGCGACAACAATCGTGCCAACAACATCACCCGTACACAACCCGTACACAACCCGTACTCACCCGTATCACGTGGACATACTTGAACAATCCGTACCCGTACACAACCCGTACTCGCCCGTACTCGCCCACATGTTCACACATACATGATGAAAGTCATTGGCTGCAATAGCCTTCCCGGCCGTTCTGAACGGCCATTTTGCTGGCCCTGTGGCCATTTGACATGCCCGTGCCTCAATATGACCGGATAATGCAGCAGAACACGGACACATAGGACCTGGGACACGTGCCGTAGTAGCTCTCTGTGCTAGGTCGAAGAGCATTTTGCCCGACGTGGAGAACAAGGCACGGTTGCTGCTGCTCGGTCATGACACACTTAGCGCCGACATGCATGCTCGTCACATACGACATGAGTCATAGATTATGCCCTGGATGTGCCTCATTGACTAGGATTCATAGAATATGTACTAGTCATAATATTATGACTCTGATAGTATTATTTCATTTAAAAATAAAGACTACATAATAATGAATTAATATTATAATATTAAGATAGTCTATATAATGATTTTTGGAATATATAATACATAATATTTCTAATTATTATGTAGTATAATATATATATATATATAAATATCAATATATATATATATATATATATATATATATATTAATATATTACTATATATATAATTATATATGATTATATATGGTTATTTATAAGAATATATAATGATAATATGATATTGATTATTTATGACTCGAGCACGAGTCATGAATATATATGCGGGCCCGTGACACGTCGCAAGTCTGCATGTCTCGGCAACACAACGAGCCTACGTGTGCGGTTGGCATGCGACATAGACACATTACATATATACACCGGTAGATATATATATATATACATACACACATATAAATATGCATATATATATATACATACAAAATGAATAGGATAGTATCTTGCACTAGAATATATGCAAGAGAAGGAGATGCGAGTGCACACAGTGTACATAGCTGCCATATACATACAGTGATTCTGTAAGAGAAACAAGCATAGAACGTTCGCCGGACTCATATCGGGTCTCGCACGGGTACGCAGGCTGACCTCCAGATGCGGTTTCGTGACGTCAAGCGAGAGCTCGAGGCTGCTGCTGCCAGCCAGCAAGCAGACAGCCGGGTGTGTGCATGCATGTGTCGCATCTGAGAGAGATTGTTTGTTCCATGTGATGTGCATAAGGGCGATGCATTGGGTGCCACGACAACGACCGGTGCTGCCGATGGACCGGAAGGTCTCATGGATCGATGTGTCTGTGTCTGGCACCTGATGAGATCTCCTGCCGCTGCCAGGAGCCCCGGATGACGTGCCTCCGCCCCCGCAGGCGGAGACTCAGAGCGATGAGGATCGATCGTGGATGTCAGCATGCACATGACGTGGCAGGGTCGAGGTAAGTTGTGCATGCAGTGGAGTGACAACATGTCTATTCGGTGCAGGACGATGAGCCTCTTTCCAGGCTCCTGAATGAGGAGCTCGAGAAGCATTATGAGGAACAAAATCGGCTGGAACAGGAGGCTGAGTTGCAGGCGACGAAGAAGCGACAGCGAGCCGAAGAGATGGCACGGCAGGC